AAACCCCCGGCGGGGGGGACACCCAGCCCCCCAGCCCAAAAAAGGGGGGGGGATGGGGTCGAGGGCCCCCCCCCCCCCCAGTTCCCCCCCCAGCCAGTCTGGGCTGCTTGTTTCCTGCTTCAGTTAGACCATCACTGTGCAGGGAGGCCAACCCTAACTGTGCCGTTCAACTTTCTTACTCTCAATAATCGGGGATTAAAACTGTTAAATGGCTTGTAAATAAAATTAATCCTGCTAGGATTAAGAGGCCTTTGGGGCTTGTCTGTCCTGTTTAGTTTTCCATCTAAATAACTGTATCCCATTTCCCACTTGCAGTTTAAAGTGGCATCCTAATGCCAGGGCATCTCCGAATTTTCCCCAATGTGCACAGCATTGACCCTCACCCAGCATGCTAGTGGGGTTTGCAGAGTTGCTGTTTCAGCTGCACAATTCCGTTCATTTGTTTAGAGTTCCTCTTTCCTCTCCCTTCATTTTCCTCAGAGTTTGTTTGCTAGCAATTCTAATGACTAACTGCCAGTTCCACTTTCTCAGTGCTGAAAACTAGGAAACATAAATGGTGTAAGATCTGGAACGCTGCTTAGATTTGACAGGTTTTGTGACTGTTTCTACTTTCTGGGGTGCTCGAGGAAAGCAATTAGCAAGATATTGCTGCTAGGCACAGCAGCAAAACCTCCTGTTACTTTTGTAGTCCAAAAAGTCCTTTTGTATTGTACTCTCTTCTGCAGAGAGTTGCCTGCTAACCAATGTAACTTTGGGAGGTGCAAACCCTCTGATTTTTGACAATAAGCTTACACAGCAGTTAATTTCATTGAATTCCTTGGGGCATATTTCGAAGGAACCGTGAGCTTTTTAGGACAAAATCTGAGCATCCCCATTGGACGGTGAATCCCATTCATGACTGGCCCTACCCCAGAGGCAAACTAGATAATCCCTGACCATGCCAAATCTCTAAGAATACCTACCTCAGACTTACATTTAGAGAGGGGAAAGAACAGCCAGCATTTGGGATGGAATGGAAATGCACAGGCCCTGGATTCATATAGTGTGCATTTAAGGGGAGTTGTTTGTAACACAACCCATCCAATGTGTTGGAACAGAAAATGTTATCCTGATAACCTATGCATGCCCTTACATGGGAATAATCATATTGGCCTGAATAGGACTTACTTCTGAGTAGATTTCCATAGGACTGCATTCTTATTGGATGACGGGAAAGAATTCTCACAAAATGGAAGGTTCTTCTTCTTTTAATATGCATAACAGTAATGCTTTCTTTGTTCAACGCTTCCCTTGTCTCATGATCTAAGTACTCTGTGCACTTTTGTGTACAGTACACACCATGACTGCCCTTTATATGGGGCAGTCTGCTTGAAGTTGGTGGTAGAGAAGTGCCTCCTGCGTTCCAGGAGATCGCACTCCATAAACTGAGGGATCCAGATCAAGGGTTCTCTGCTTTAATTAATATTTTAATTAATATTTCAAGAAAGCTGTCTTATCTAATAAATCAGACCTTGGTCTATCTAAGATAGTAGTCTACGCTGAGAAACAGTTGCTCTCCACTGTTTCAGAAAGTGGCTCTACTAAAAGATGCCACAAACTGAACTTTGCTACTCATTAAACACTAGCATACAAGTGGCAAGTCCAGGGAGACACTGATGAGTGTGGAATGTTGAGGTTCTGTGTGACTTTCCCACAACTGAGTGTGTGAATGCTGCACTATCTCCAGTGAATCTTGACAGGGAATTCTCTTCACTGTTTTCTGAGCAGTGTGACTCTGTTGTATAGGCTGATTTGCAACCCATTTTCTTTCTTCTTTCTTCTTTTTTCTTATGTGTAACTCTCTAGGTTGGCTGCAAAGCACTTGTGTTCCCAACACAATTTAAAACTCAGAAATACTATGAGATCTTAAAAGATGTATGCCCAGAATTGGAACATTCTAATCCAGGAGCACTGAAGACCAAGAAGTAAGTTTATATATTGTGTCGTAGACTGTTGTTCCATTCCAGCATTTAGCAGTCTGAGGGAGACTGATGTGCTGGCTACTCCCTGGAGCATGTGCACGATCAAGCTTCAAGCAGTTCTGTCTCTGGTTTGCATCATACAGTATATCATGGAAATCAGAGACCCAGGCTTGTTTCAAGCCAAAGAGAGAAGCCTATACCATGGTTTCTTTCTTGTTTGTGAGGCTTTAGTTCAGGATATAAAAACTTTGATTGGATTTACACATGGTGCTAAACTACAGTATAATGTATGTTTGTGTTGTGGTTGGTTTTGTTTTTATGACATAGTATATTGTGTGTTCCTAGTCGATAACTTTACATTTAACTGTGGACCTCCATGGGACCAGCCTTAATATTTATATGAAAATACACTATGTGCTTTCTGCTAGATCCCTTTTCAAATTAATTATGATTGAAAATAAATTTTAAATACTTCAGAAATGCTTACTGTATATAATAAGCAAGACAATGTTCATTTTCTGCAAATTTTTTCTTGAACATTTTGTCTTGATCTAGTAATGGGCAAAGGTCATACATGTGCAATCCTGGTTCAGTTGGTACCTCTCATATACATTTATAATGGATCAGTGTATTCATTAACTGGTTCGATACTGACAGACATTTGCACAGCCACTCCTCTGGCCTTGGTAATATTTTTTTTTCACCTGGAATGATTCCAGGAGGATAAAGACTATTATCACAGCTACTTACCAGCCTCTTATGGGTTTATTAGACATATCTATATACTATTAAAGCTCTCATGTCTGTAACCTTCAACTGGGTGAAACGGTGCACTATAGGGCAACAAGTTTTGAACCAAGGTACCTCAAATGGGCTAACTTACAGAATGTGTCCAAAATCCAGGATCCATGACACCCATGGAATTGAAATTTGGGAAATTTGTGGTTGCTTCAGCACTGCTGTGCCGCCACACCACTGTGGTCAGCCCAAGTCACGTGATCATCATGGATGTATCCCCAACCTCTTTTCCTGCCTTCCCCTGTGCCCAATTGGCTGGTGGCAAGGCCTGACGGGCGAGTGGGGATTGGCTGTTTTGGAAACGAGGCTGAAATTTGAAATCTCTTAATGGCAGAGGGCATTGAGAGAAGGATGAGGGAATGACTTGAATGCCTGCTGGTGAGGTAGGGCTGGCTGGGGGACGCCAGTGGTCAACGGGTGAGCCCTCTTCCAGCTTCGAGGGAGGGGGCCCTTGGGGACACACCAGAGTGAGGAGTGGGTTGCAGTTTTCCTCGTGATCTGCAACTCCCTTAGTTCCACCTCCCCCTAGCAAAGTGGCAGGCAGTTTTGCAGGTCAGCCAAGGAGGAGGAGGAGGTTTCATCGGGGCTCTCCTGAAGGTCATGAGGGGAAGGCAAATGGCACAAGCCTATATTATATCTGGAAAGGAAGGAAGGAAGGAAGATTTCTGATGCTCCCTGCCAGTTTCCCCCTGTAAATGGGGAAGCTGGCAGCAAGTCGTAAGTTGCTCACACTCCCACTGCTTTTTTGCCCTTGGTCATTCTGTTTCTCTGTTTAGGTAAGGAAATATCTCTGAAACTATGACCCAATGGGTCACGGGTTGTCTAGTATTTTCATAAAGCCAAACGCATCTACTGACAGGTCTCAGGTGGAATTTTGTAATAGCCAAATATCACTTTGATCTTCGTGGTCTTATGAACCTGGATATCTTTTTACCTTGTCTTCTTCCTGCCCTCACAACTCCAGTAGGAAATGCAAATTTCTGTGCATGCACAACCAGTTCTGCCAAGGAAGGTTAAAAGGGCATTCTCTTTGTGTATTCTACATAGGCATCTGGCATGTACAAACATTGCAATCCCAGCCAGTATTTTTTTTTTAAATTCTCAGTCTACAGACAGAGAGAGATAAAAGAAACCTGACAAAACTTTCTGGTTTATTCCAGTCTCTTCTCTAATAATCCAACTACTGCCCATTCCATTTTGGATTATTTTACAACATTCTTAGGAAGGTATCTTTAGTGGAAAAGCATTACAATAGGATATTGTATGTTATTCAAACAATATTGATTTTTTTTAAAAAAAATAAGCATTAGTTGTCATTTTAAACTCCAACAATCCATATGGGATTTTACAAAAAAACCTAGACCCCTCAGCTATTCGAACAACTTGCTTTTGGCTATGAATTTCTAATCTGCAAATAATGGAAATCTTATTTTCTCCATAAGGGGAAATCATAATCTTATTCTGGCAAATAAATCACTGTCATCAGGAAAAATTTCCTGTTACTGTATATTTGATTTGACCTATAGTTTGAGGTCTTATTCCTTGAGCTTGTGTTTACACTCTGAGAGGTTGAACTCCCTTTTGTCATGTAAGTGACTGGATGTTCCTTCGTATCAGACTGCCAGAGCTTTCTGTTGTAATCTGTGTGGATGCCAAGCTACCTGGCACATTCTCAATGCATGAAGTGATGCAGGCTGGAGACAGCAGCCACAAGAAAGAACTACAGGAGATACGGAAGATGCTGATCTACAAAGAGCCAATTAACATTCAGTTTACTTCAGTAAGTATCAACTGTACCTTTTCCAATATTCAAAAAAATGCAGCCCGTGATGATTAGAGATAGGCAGGCTACTTTTTGCCAAGTGGAATAAGTTGGTACTTAGAATTTACTGCAAAAGATTATCTGTATTGATTTTTTGCTGTGTGGCTCTTTATAAAACATAGTTGTTGTATATTATGGCTGTCCCAAAACCCTCTGAAAGGGTTTTGGGACATACAAGAGCTGTCTGTGTGTGTGTGTGCATGTATGTGTGTATACACGTATACAGTACTGTGCAAAAGTTTTAGCCACGTGTGAAAAAATGCTGTAAAGTAAGAATGCTT